ACTCAGGACCTTCTTGCTGTGCGGCAACAGTGCTAACCACCGTGCCACCCGGTATCTATCTATCGATCTATCGATCGATAGATAGATAGATAGATAGATATAATGTATATATATATATATATATAATAATAATCTGACAATACTATAATATTGGCCATATTATATTTACATTGCCACAGTGAGATGAACAACATTAACAACATGAACTAATTGTTATTTACTGACTAATCTTAAATGACTGTTCAGCACAGAAATGAAGCCCAACAAGCATGTTTTACAGTCCCGTGGTCTCAGCCTCAGATACTCAACTAAAGTGATGTCATGACAAAAATGAATGACCAACAAAACATTTTTCTCCTTCATTTCTGTCAAACAAAGCTGTATGTAACGTGTCTCGCGGTTAGCATCATGGTTGCTAGGCAACCTGAACAGCGCGACGAAGCGTATACCGTCCCATTTCCAGTGTTGGGGAGTAACGGAATACATGTACCGCCGTTACGTATTTAAAATACAAAATATGAGTAACTGTATTCCGTTACAGTTACCGTTTTAAAAGGTGGTATTCAGAATACAGTTACTTTGTTGAAATAAATGGATTACACTGCGGTACTTTCCTGTTTCATTTTGTCGCGGGTCAGGACTGTTTGGGTTTTGTTTGACAGCTATGTTCTGTTGTTCCAGGCGGCAGCGTTACGGTTGCCATGGTTACAGGGCGACGCTCTCTCTCTCTGCGACTGTGTGCTTCCTGGGTGAGAGAGCGCCTTTTCGTTGTTGTTGTTGTGGTGCTAAGCTAACAGGCTGAATGCTACAAGCATAGCTCTAAAGAATGTAGCATCATGGGCAGTGTAGTCCGTGTTGCAGGGAGAATGGACTGCCATACACGTTATGGGTCTGTGAGCGCGAGGAGGGAGAAAAAGGGGAGTGGAAAGGTACGAGTTGTCATCGAGCAAAAACGGGAGCTGGAAGCATGTAAATATAATAATAACCACTGCAGCCAAGAAGAGAGCCTGATGAGCCCAGTTGTAAGTAAGCTATTAAGACTCGACTGTTCGTGTTTTCCTCCGAAAACAATAAGTTCCGTTGGAGCAGTCTTTCAATGCCTCTCTCTGTCTCTGGCAAGCAGAGTTGACCCACACAACAAAGCTATTAAAGCTATTTTTCGGCTACGAAAGTGTAAGCCCGTATTATGCTGGGCTTACACTGTGCGATTTTTTCAGTCGCGCGATTCAGCTCCTGCTCAAACTGTACGATTGACTCGCAGGGGTTAGAAGTTCATAGGTCACGATGCAGGGTCTCACACTATACGACCCGATGCTCTGATGCGACCTGAGTGCTCACACTGTGCGTCCATAAAATGAAGGTTATGACAGAAATTCTGTCGCTCGCTCTCCCTCTCTGTCTTTCACTCACACAGACACGCCACCACCACCATCAACTTTGCTAAATTGCTAATGAAAAACACTGATCAGCCAGCTGTGATTGAGCAGCAGTGTAGATCCAACTATTTTCAAGGTTGTTGTGGTCGTGATAATTTTGTGAGGCCACATCGAAAAGGCTCGGATGAGCTTTCCAAAGTTCTACAAGTTGTGCCTCCATCGCTTGTGTCCAGATCACACGCTGCACTGCCATGCTGCGCCGTCTTTTTCGCTGACATTTGTGTTTGCGCGTGCGCAGTGTGACAAACTGCGGTGACACCCTCACGACGGTCGTGAGGGTTTGAAATCCTCACGACCAAGCGATTGATGATCGGGAGCTCGTCGTGAGGTGTTAATCTCTTCTCGTTACCCCACGTATACTACACGATGCACGACGCACGATGAAGGCCAAAATCGGGCCGATCGCCAAAACGGTCGCACGACTCAAAAATCGGCTCAAAATGGGCCAAAAATCGCACAATGTAAGCCCAGCATTAGTCAGAGGTCCCTTTACTACAGTTCGGAGTCGCGGACCTTCAGTAATAGTAATGAATCACACAGCAATCGTACATTCACGTTGTTGTAAAAAGCATGATAATATATTAAGTATTCCAAAGTATTCAGAATACGTTACCGTCATTGAGTAACGTAACGGAATACGTTACAGAATACATTTTGGGGCATGTATTCTGTAATGGAATACATTTTAAAAGTAACCTTCCCAACACTGCCCATTTTCACAAGCCTTTCACTTCCGCACTTCTCGTACTTATAGTACGCACCGTACGTAGTACGCGTACTTCAAGCGTTCAGTCTCTTGGGACACAGCCAAAGTGTGATACGTGTACCACTGGTGGTACGTGGGCTCCCTCTAGTGGTACATAGGAACGCCCCAAACATTTTTTTAAAGATTAAATAATATACCATGTTCTGATCACTTGTTACATCCCGTGTATGACAGTTCAAATAAATAACATTCACATAATAAAATTGTGTGTAAACAGGCATATATTACTGTACTGGTGCAATAAAAGTACTTTTTGAAGTACAATTCTCCAAACACTTACATTTAACTCAAGCAGGGTTAGGGGTTGCCACCTCAGCATGCAGTCTAGTTCTATAGTCTTGCTAATGACCTACTATTGTTAATCAGCTGTTTCAGCACACTGACCTCAAGGACTGAAGTTTGACACCCCTGATCTAGAGTCTCATAGATTTCAATTTGTTCACTAATTTTAAGTTTAAAACACGAGTACTCTGCTGCTAACATTGAGCTCATCTTGCTGCAGGGATACCACTAGGTGGAATTGTTACATAAGCTCTACTGCAAGCACTCGCACCACTATGCATCTCTTCATGTCTATGAATGTCAGTTGCAGCACTTAAACCAGTTCAAAAAAATCCTGTTATTAAAAAAAAAAAAAAAAACCCAAACAAAAAACAGTATAAAGCCAGACACCAAAACAAAAGTTGCTCTAAGTTAACTTAAGTTTATTAAGACATTCATATAATCCAAGAGGAGGAAATCTGAAAAGTAGTCAAGGAGGGGAACGGGCAATATACTCTGGTAAGGGTAAAACCACGTCAGCAAAATATAGCCAACCAGTGAGGGATTCTGATATATAGCAAGTGGGATAAAAAAAAAATATATATGGTACATTTAAATTAAACACATTCACGAAGATAAACAAAAAGCAAGTGAATCCTACAGTATAACATGACAAAAGCCTCTATTAAGCAGGCCCACGATACATCGCACATATGTTAGCATAACATAATTTGCAGACTTTATACAGCACTTATACCTTTTAGTCCACAAGTAAGTTACTAAATGGTGGAGAACATCGAATACACGCATCTTAAGTGAACATGGAAAGAAATACCTGATAAGAACCTTAATGCTTATAGACCCCATGGCTTTGCAGCTCCAACCAATCAACTGTCAAGGTCAGAATCTACAACTGTCCAAGAGGGACCACCAAAGAAGTCACCTCGCTTTTAACACATACCAAAATTCTGATCGAAGGTTTAGCATTGAGAAGTTTTTTTTCCCCTCGAATAATAAGCACAATGCAAGTGGACAATCGCTATCACTGCGTTTAAAACAAAAAGAAAAATCTCAGGGCTCAAATCAGGTCGGCCACATTCATAGGCATCTCCTCCACGGTTGTATTGTAAAACGTCTCAATGTCACGAAGAATCCTCTTGTCCTCCTCAGTCACAAAGTTGATAGCAACTCCTTTTCTGCCAAAACGGCCACCGCGACCAATTCTGTGGAGGAAAATTGGACCATGTTAGACTCAGAGAGGCAACAACAGAGCACATTCTTCCAAAGAAACTCAACTCACCTATGAATGTAGTTCTCACGGTTTGTGGGAAGGTCATAGTTAATGACCAGGGAAACCTGCTGTACATCAATTCCACGAGCCTGGTGTGGGAGGGGAGAAAAAGACATGTTCAATTTAACTCCTTAACAGACAGACTGATGAAGACTGCATATTATTAATGTTGCTCGCGAATAAGTAACAGATTCCTACGTTAAAAGAACCCATTGTGGAGAACGAGCCCTAATCTCCCAAAAGTTTCGACTGCTTGGTCATTTCAGGACTTTTGCAGGATTAAAAACATTTTGGGTTGTAACGTCACAGATGATCATGAGTGTTGATCACACTTACCAGAAGATCAGTAGTGATCAACACTCTGCTTGAGCCAGACCTAAACTCCCTCATAATCACATCACGCTCCTTCTGGTCCATGTCACCGTGCTGCAAATGGAAAATATAGATTAATACTGATGAGCAAAAGCATTTGCTTGCACCAACATAAGATTCAAGCAGGGAGAGGACGTGTCATACCAGAGCAGAGACGGTGAAGTCTCTAGCATGCATCTTTTCAGTCAACCAGTCGACTTTTCTCCTGGTGTTGAGGAAGATCACAGCCTGTGTGATTGTCAGAGTCTCATACAGATCACAGAGAGTGTCCAACTTCCATTCCTGGAAACAAACACGAGGTTATGAGATGTAAAGCACTGTTAACTGAAAAACATCAACATGAAGTCACAGCAGAATCCTGTAGTTTAACATCTACCCCACTTCCATGTTAAATGAGGAGCAGCTATTGTGTAACACAGGATTTCGAGACAAAGGAAACTGGACATTAAGAAAGAGGTCCCTCCTAGCCTCATTTCCAATACCATGCCTTTGATCTCCTTCTCTGGTGTACCCATGCTTACACGGCCACATGAGCTAAACCTGTGAGGCTTGGCTCCTGCAGTTTCAGCAGGGTGCTTTAGAGAGAAGGGAAATTAAAACATTCACAGTGGTACAAGATTATCAGCAGAAATCTTACCAACCTCTCGCTCCACATTAATGTAGAACTGCTTGATACCCTCAAGGGTAAGCTCTTCTTTCTTCACCAAGATGCGAACGGGATCTCGCATGAACTTCTTAGTTACCTCCAACACATCTGCTGGCATTGTGGCTGAGAGCAGGACCACCTGAAGAAGCAGCACTACATGTTACACCACCCCCCCCAAAAAAAAAAATCAACATAAAATTTGTTACAAGCGTATTAAAAGACAATGCCAATTGTGGCACTTGACCTTGAGATTGCAGCCAAAGAACATTAAGAAAGAGGTTCGACCACATCTCATTTTCAGTCAAGTGCACAATAATCTGCTTCCACGTAAAAAATCTGCTATCATCATTGCATGAAACAGAAAATCTGGATCACACAATTATAGCAGACCTCTGTTGATGCAGAAGGGCATCTTATTTGTTCTCTGGTGTGCGTTGGTTTCTTACTTGAATGTTTGTGCTCAGTTTCTGGAAGATCTCATAGATCTGATCCTTGAAGCCGCGACTCAACATCTCATCGGCTTCATCCAGAACAAACATCTTGATCCATTTTGGAGCTGCAGAGAAATGTCATGTTTGTTAGCAAACATATCACCAATCTGAGCTTCCAGTAAGCAGGACCTGTAATACTTACACAGGTGCTTCCTGTTCAGCATGTCGTACACACGTCCAGGTGTGCCCACCACTATGTGAGGGGCCTCGGCCTGGAGCTTCTGTATTTCACTACGGAGATTGGTCCCTCCAATGCAGGCATGGCAGGTTGCCCCCATGTAGTCACCCAAAGCCAGAATTACCTTCTGGATCTAAGAAGGGGAGATGGGACAGAAGAACTTGTTTAAGATAATGTGGCACAGAGAGCCAGACAAGACTCGCAAACTGCAGAAAAACTGTTTAAAGTGATCAGTAGAGTAAAAGAAACTCTCCATTTCAAGAGTCAGTCCCGAAAGATGGTATGCCATCACATCACTCAGTTTTTCACAGAAAAATTCGAAAGCATTTCACCTTTCAGACCAATGTAGCCACGGACAGAGACTACATTAGCTTAAGAAGATACTCGTCAAATCTTTTGGAATTTGAACAAATCTTTAAAAGATTGTACCTTAGGATCTGAATTAGTGTCCTCAGTACGCTGCTTAGGTCTGAGGTACTGCTGAGGTTTATGGTGACCTCAGGAACAGCATACCTGCTGAGCCAGCTCTCTAGTCGGAGCCAAAACCAGAGCCTGAGTCTCCTTCTGCTCAATATCCAACTGCTGCAAGATAGAGATGGCAAATGTGGCTGTCTTGCCAGTTCCAGACTGGGCCTGAGCAATGACATCATAGCCTGACAGTAAGGGGAAAAAATTATTTTAAGTACATATATTTGTTTCTCAAAACAGAAACAGGCTAAACAACAAAATCATCCTTTGCAAGATTTGACTCATTAACTAATCATTTTACAGTACTGAGTGATCAGCATGAAACAAAGTTATCCCCATGTTTTGGGTAAGTCCCGAAAGATGGTAGACCATCATTTCACTCAAACATCTACAATCCTATTCTGAGTTTAAAAAGAAAAGTGTCTGTACCTTTGATGCAAGGGATGATGGCCCTCTGTTGAATGGCAGATGGTTTTTCAAAACCATATGCGTATATGCCCCTGAGAAGAGTCTCCTTCAGGTTCATATCATCAAAGTTGTCTGTAATCTCATTCCAGTTGCTCTGAATTTTGGGAAAGACAGTACATGGGTGAATTAGTACTTCAATGATCCAGTTACAGCCAAAAATATAGTGCCAGTGCTTGTATTTCGCCATACTACTTACCTCGATGACACCATCAGGCTCCATTCCATCTGGTCCCCCATGGTCTCTATCTCTTGAGCTGTTGGAAATGAAACACTCTTCAATTTTTACATAAAATGTGACCTTAAAAATAAACTGAACGCATGCTACAGCGGTCGTTTCTTCCAGGCGTCATTTAATGTGAAGGCCTGCTGCTCACTCATCTCCAACAATAAGACCGCCTATTTCGCGCTCAGGGTGAGAAACTAAAACACAGAAATTACGTTAGATATGTAGTGAGATAGTCAATCGTAGCCTGGGTTACGCCCCAGCGATCTAGTTCCACAGTCTGGAGGTTCACTGAGCGCACGTGTCAAATTGCACGAGCCGGGCTCCACTGCTAGTCCCTCATAAAATGGCCGCTTACGTAACCTCCAAAGATTTGAGGCTGGCTCCTTATACCCACTGTGGTCCCCGGTAACTCAAGATTAAAATTACATCTGTACACTTTGGATGTACCTCAACATGGAGCTCCGCTTCGCTCACCGTTAGCCAATATGTCGGACAGTTGGGCCTGTACTGCCAACGGTGGCTTCTTCTGAGGCCTACATACAGCCTGGACCGACGACTCTCAATTTGGATAATCCCCAGCTACAATAGTAAACAAAGGGTTCTACTAATCACTACAAAGTCCTGGTATACTTTGAGTATGACGTGGCCAAATATTAAACATTTAAAGCAGAATGCTTTTAAAAGCAGTTAGGAACTACGGTGTGTAACGGAGCAGCTAGCGTCACATAGCTAACAGTTAGCCCCAGCGGTTGGGGCCTAGTTAGCTATTTAATAACTAATTTTGCATAACACTAACTGCAAACCACTTTCTCGAGGTTAGACGCAGATAAATATTCAGCGTCGTTTTAAAAAAAAAAAAAACTCGCCCAAACGTATTCTCTTACCTGTTGTAATCAGCAGAATCGCTAGACATGATCCGTTCCCAACTTCAGCATGCGAGTGGAAAGATCGCTGCTCGAGAATACAACTGCATTTATGGAGCCGGACTATTTTCACCGACAAACTCAGTGCCCAATTTGGCTGACAATAAAATATTAGTTGACTGACTTAATGTTTGAATCACATTTTATTTAACACACTACTTATTGTGTTCAAATATGTCTTTAGATAAACAATAAAATGTTAAAATTGTTCCAGACTATATTCCTCGGCGGAAGGATATTGCAGTAATAGTGGGTGCTCGGGCTCGCTACCGTGTCTCTGATAGGTCAAAACTCGCTCTGACAAGTGTTGTGCAACATTTTTGGAGAGAAGGTTTGCATGAGGCCCATGCAAGCGGGGTTCAAGAAATAAAATGAAGTTTACTACCACACAGGCAGAGCTAACCGAGGCTTTGCTGTCCAAGTGTGATTATTAAATAACTTTTAATTGGCATAGAGTTTAAAAAGGGACAATGCTGCAGTTTCTGTGTCTTTGACACACTTGCTGTTCCATATTTATCAGTTATGTGTAGTGTTTGAGGCAGGTTTAAACAATTAAAGTACACAGTCACTTCCATATGTGGAGTGACAGATATAGAAGTGGTATCTTGCATATTGTAAGGAAAGCTGATTGGACAGGCAAACTTGTCATAACAATAACTGCTTTGGGGAAAGTGTGGGGAGAAATCTGGAGAAGGCTTCTTCTTGGCATATCATTCAGTAGATTTCTGCTACCTGCTGGACTTAAGCAACTGACAGTTTGTACGAACTAATTCTCTGTCAGTCTCTTGTGTTTCTTTATTCCAGAAATCAGAGACGTTACACAGAGGAGACACTCAAAGACTTATGAAAAAAGGACATTGGAAAGTACTGACAGCTAAGATTGGTTGTACTTATGTTAGGGTAAAAGTTAACAAGCCTTGATTTAAAAAAAAATAATCAGATTTGACTGGAGAGTCTATACATGCAGTTTTTATCTCCTGGTGACCTTTGAGACGAAAGTTCAGTTAGATAATGCTTCAATTAGTCTCCACTGAGTCAGAGACTTGCTTTGATAAAGTTACCCAGTTTAGCTGAGCTAACACAACCATTTTCTCCCTGTGTCACCTCTCTGCTTTCCACGTTTCACCTTCTTGGAGAAGTTCCTGATTTACTTGGAAGACCTTGGACTCTACTCTGGTTTAGACAATGTTAACTAGATTATTATGAGATTATTATTATAATACATATTTAGAGGATTATTCTCTAAATATGAGAGAAGCATACAATAATAATCAATTGTGAGGCACACTCACGTGACTGGATATAATATCCCTGTTTACTTTAAAAAACAAATTTAGATTCTGTATATTTAAGCCTTCCCCTACAGCAAAGCTGTTTTAATGGCCAGGTTTTATTTGATCTCTGGTAGTCGTGCTTGCATTGTTAGAAAAAGAAAGAGCATATTTCTCCCATATCAGCTTCTCTTCATTGGCTACCTGTTAAATGTAGACTCACATTTAATATTCTTCTCCTTACATACAAGATCTTGAATAATCGGGTCCCATTTTATCTTCAAGACCTTATATCACCCTAACAGAGCACTTTGCTCTCAGACTTGTGGTTCCTGGGATATTTAGTAGAATAGGAGGCAGAGCCTTTAGCTTTAAGGCCCCTCTTCTGTGGAACGGGACAGACACACTCTCTACTTTTTGATTAAGCTTATAGTAAGGGCTGGATAACTAACCCCAAACCTTCCCTTAGTTACACTTCACTGACTGTTTATTCTTCACACTCTCTATATGTTTATACATCACTTTGCATTTAATCAATAGTTATTTTTATGTTTGGCTCTCTCCCACAGTGTGTCTTTTGTCCTGTCTTCCTCCCCTCACGGCACATGGCCGCTCCTCCTTGAGCCTGGTTCTGCCTGAGGTTTCTTCCTGTTAAAAGGGAGTTCTCTGTCCCACTGTTGGGTCATTTGATTGTTGTTAAGCTTTTAGCTAAAACATTTGAGCAACTCTATGGACCATCCAGCAGTATCAGCGCACCACTCTTAAACCAGCACTTGTGATGACTTTTGACTCAGCCAATAAGAGGGAAACTTCATTCTTTCTTTTCTGCTAGAACCACAAACCACAAGTAAGTAGGGTACCATAATTCATATACTTAATATTAAGTGAAATTACTGTCTTATCAACAATGAAAAGGTTGTGGTACACATGTCAAATAAGATTACAAATACTTTATTCATCCACAAATGTTACAAAATTGCTCTGTTAAAGCAACCAACAACAAAAAGCTTTGCCTTTGTTCCAGTGTACAAAGGGAGCGGTTGGATTTTTCCTTTTTTTTTCTTTAATTAAATACAGTGGAGATATGGTTTGAATTTCACAGATGCAGGCTTTTGGAAACTATATTAATGCACAATGGTGTAGTAGTTAGAGAAGAGTTCCTCCCCTGCTGAAATGTCCCTGAGCGACACTAGCACAACACACCGCAGACGCCTCTGTGTACCCTGGCTGTAGTTGACGTTAGGGAGATACTGGCGGAGCTCAATGGGAAACTTGTCTGGCAGGTCGTACTCCTGGTAGCACACGTTGGCAGGCCTCTCGTAGGAGCAGTTGTTCACATATTGACCCACAGCCAGGGGGTTATGGGGAGTGTCTGTCAGCCAGC